GGTGCAGTAAAACAATACAGTTTATAAAAATAGCGAACGTCTAGCGTTCCGCCGACGACGGCCCAAAATGAAAACGACGCGTCGACGACGGATCCGGAGACGACGGTAAAATACAATTATRATATTACATCATTCTATGCCATGTTACCATAATATTATCATGTGATACCGCGTGACCGAACCTAACCAGTCGTCGTTATTGTCGGCATCGATCCCGCGAGCCGACATTCCCTAGCGAGCGGATGCGGTCCGAGACGCCGTTGATCATCAGCTGCAGCGCGGGTCCCAAGTCCCATACCGCCGCCGTCGACCACGATGACCGTCAGTTACCAGTCAAAGGTGTCGTCGTCGACCAGCGCGGGATTCACAAAATTACTGTTCCTGTGGCGGGGCAGCCTGTACCAGGTACTGTACAGGGAACTGTTGTTGTTCATGGTGGCGTTCGTCATCATCAGCGCCCTGTACCGGAATGCGTTCACCAACGCACAAAAGGAGTAAGTCCGCATGATTTTATTCAGCCGTATACGAATCGAGTTGTGTTCGGTGCAATATCAAACATATAATATCAACAACAATTGACCATTTTGTTTTATCTGGTATACAGATAAATAAATAAATGGAATTTTCCGAATTGGTTCCCATTTGGAATTTGCCATTTAAAAAGTAAACAAATTTAAGTTCCAGTTTAAATTTCAGTTTTACCCTGCTATACTCGAGTTGATTCTCAAGTACACACATTTTCTCAGACTTGGAGGCAGGGCTGCATCCAAATGAATTATTCGGGCTTCCTGCTTGGATATRTTTTACCCGATCTAGGTGTTTAATCACCCTAAATATAAAAATTAAAATTAATTTTGACGTTCATGACCGTTATTATCTGGATTAATATTGATTAATGTGTGAAGTACTTGAACAAAAACTTAGTTTTAAAACGATGTACCTTTTTTTTTAGTTCATACGAGTTCCCTTAGAATACAAAATTACTGATATGCCGTAGATGATGGTATATGAAAATAATATGACAATAACTATAGYCTGTGATCAATATAATAAAATTACTGTTCACTATTTAAATAATATTGTTGTCACTTCTGCTATTTTWAAATACCCTTCACYGTACAATCGGTTCAACCTGGCTCATATGCTGTGATAATTATAAAATATAAATTTTTTTAGAGATATCTCCGATCACCACCAATAGCGTATATTTCTTATGGCCACGATTACCAAATGGTTCTAATTGCCACTAAAAATACTTACAAAATTACTATTTTATGAAATTTGTATACCAATTAAATAATTTCCCGGTTTTTGGATAACAGGAACGTTTTTTTCGGGTCTCAAATAATAACAGTGCTTAAAAAATATTATTC